TCCATCAGAGGAGGAATGGATACAAAATTTGTCCTACATTATACAATGTGTCACCGGCCAGCAGTGACAGCTGGATAACACCTGAGTGAAGGCTAGCTGGAAAGAGATAGTACAAGACAAAGAAGGACACCACTTCTAGGCTCTGATCTAGGTGTCATTTACTGAAAGTCAAGTTAACACTTAAATAGCAGGCAAGTACAAGCAGTTTCTCACAGAGGCAATTTTACTTAACCAAAACATATGAGGGCTCAGTCAAGGTTACACAGAACCTGCTGTCTGGTTACCATGGTTGCATGGAATGTATTGTCTAGTTCTCAGGGTCAGAGCCCTCTGCTATTGAATTGCCAGGGTCAGTCTATCAGACACTAAGCTTTAGATAGCAGCCAGAGCCAAGAAGTCAAATTCCACTGTGCACTCCAATTTGCCTTTAACTCCAAATAGGCTGCCACAACAATGGAATAATACTCAGCTATTATCATGAAATTTGCAGGCAAATGGTGGAAAGCAGAAAAGACCATCTTAAACTCAATGACCCACAACCAGAAAGACACAAATTGTATGTACTCACTTTTAAGTGTATATTAACTATGTAATATAGGATAAACATACTAAAATAAATACTGCTAAAGAAGCTAAACATTGAGGACACTAAGAAAGATGGCTAAACCTCATTCAGAAAGACAAATGTGACAGATATCTGAAGCAGGATAAGCCAGAGTACAGGACAGGAACTATGACAGATGGCCTCTGAAAGACTGTATTGATGGAGGTATAGAAGCAGAGGCTGAGACTCATAACCAAACTTTGGGCAGATGGCTCAGAATCTTATAAGAAAGAGCTACAAGGACCTGGAGGGGACAGGAGCTCCAAAAGGAGACCAAAAGAGCAAACAACAACAACAACAAAAACTGACCCCTGAAAGCCCCTAGGAGGATGATTCCCCAACCAAGGACTGTGCATGGAGAGGACTTAAACCCTGGCTCATATGTAGTCCTTAGACTCAGAATCCAAAGGGGTCCCTATTACAGGGAGTAGGGGCTTTCTCTGACATGAACTCAGTGACAGGCTCTCTGATCACCTCTCCCTGGGGTGGGGGTGGGGGTGCAGCCTTGCCAGGCCACAGAGAAATATAATGCAACCAGTCCTTATGAGACCTGATAGGCTAGGGTCAAATAGAAGAGGAGGAGGACTTCCCCTATCAGTGGAATAAGGTAGGGGCATGGAGGAGGAGAGGGAGAGAGGTTTGAATTGGGAAGCGATGAAGGGGTTACTTCCAGTATACAAATTGAATAAATTGTAATAAATGATGATAATAAAAATTCTTAATAAAAAATAAAAAAAAATAAAGTAAAAAATGAAAAGGCACATAATGACAAACACTGAGGAAGTCCAAAGAATCATTAGGCCCTACTTCAAAAGCCTATATACAACAAAATTTGAAATTCTAAATGAAATGCACAAGTTTCTTGATAGATTTCATTTACCAAAGGTGAATCAAGATCAGGTAAACAAAATAAACAATACTGTATCCCCTATAGAAATGGAAGCAGTCATCAAAAGTCTCCCATCCAAAAAAAGCCTGGAGCCAGGAGGTTTCAGTCCAGAATTCTACCAGACCTTCAAATAAGAGATAACACCAATACTCTTCAAACTATTCCATAAAATAGAAACAGAAAGAACATTACCAAACTCATTCTATGATGCCACAGTCACCTTGATACATTATGTGCACAAAGACCTAACAAAGAAAGAGAATTTCAGACCAATTTAGCTTATGTCCATTGACACAGAAATACTCAAAAAAATATTCACAAACTGAATCCAAAAACACATGAAAGATATCATCCCCCCAGTTCCACGGTGGCTTCATCTCATTTATGCAGGGTGGTTCAATATATGGGAAACCATCAATATAATCTACTATATAAAGAAACTGAAAGAAAACAAAAAAAAAACACATGATCATCTCCTTAAATGCTGAAATAGCATTGGACAAAGTCCAACACCCATTCATGTTTAAAATATTGTAGAAAAAAATCCCCATACTCATGGATTAGTAGGTCTACAGAGTAAAAAGTCAACTTACCAAAAGCAGCCAACAGATTCAATGAGATCACTATGAATATACCAAGAAAATTCCTTTCAGACCTTGAAAGAACATTCTAAATTTCATATGGAAAAACAAATAACCCAGAATAGTTAACCCAATCCTGTATGATAAAAAATCTTCAGGACGTATCTCCATCCCTCATCTCAAGTTACACTATAAAGGAAGAGTATTAAAAATGGCATGGTTCTGCAAATCAAAACAGACTTGTAGATCAATGGAATCAAATTGAAGACCAAAAAATAAACCCACACACTTACAGACACTTGATTTTTTTTAAAAAGGAGCCAAATTCAAATAATGGTAAAAAGATACCATCTTCAACAAATGGTGCTAGTTTAATTGGATGTCTACATGTAGAAAACGCAAATAGAACCATACTTATGCTGTACAAAACTAAAGTCCTAGTGGATCAAAAAGCTCAACATAAAACCAGACAGGCTAAATCTGTTATAACAAAAACTGGAATGACCCTTTATCTCATTGGCACATTCATGAAGAAAACATCAACAGCTCAGGTTCTCAGATCAACAATTAATATATGGGACTTCATGAAACTGAAAAACTTCTATAAAGCAAAATACATTGTCAACAGAACAAAAGAAGAGTGTACAGACTGAGAAAAAATCTTCACAAACCATACATATGACAGAGAGTTAATAATAAAAATATATAAAGAGCTTAAGAAACTAAACTCCAACAAACCAAATAATCCAGTTAAAAATGGGGTACAGAACTAAACAGAGAATTCTCAAAACAGGGATATAGAATGGAAGAGAAACAGTTATAGAAATGTTCAACATTCTTAGTCATCAATGAAATGCAAATCAAAATGACAGGACCAACAAATCTGAGCCCAATGGGTACTTCAAAGACTGATGCACCAACAAAGTACCATGTATGAAGAGGACATAGATTCCCCTTCTCAGAAGCAGCCCATAGGCCACTCATTCTCCTGGTAGGTCCGTAGTAAATGGAGCATAGGCTTTCTCTGACATGGACTCTGTAGCTGGTTCTTTGATCACTTACTTCTGTTAGAGGTCTTGCCAGGACACAGAGAAAGAAAACGCAGGTAGTCCTAACCAGATTTGATAGGCTGCAGTCAGACGGTAGGGGAAAATGTGTACCCCTTTCTGAGAAATAGAGGAGGGGACTAGGAGGTAAGAGGGCTACAATGTGGATGAAAAGTGAATGAATAATTTTAAAATAGTGCATTTAAATTTAAAAATGAGTTAAGAGTCGCCACAAGATTATAAGACACACAAGAGAGAATTTCAGGTCTTGAAGACAAGTTAGATGAAGTAGCTTTATCAAAGAAACCGCTATGTCTAAAACGATATCCAGACACAAAACAGGAAGGAATCCTGATAAACTCTCAAAATAACAACTCCTTGAATAGTGTGGACAGAGGAAAGAAAACAGTCCAGTTAAAAAGCACAGAAAATACATTCAATAAAATTGTACAATATTTCTCTAATTTAAACAATAAGTTATCTGTATTACAATGTACAAGATTAATATAGAATACCAAGGAGACTAAAAAAGTAGCATACCACAAAACATATCAAAGAAAATACTCAACATATATGGGGGGAAGGATTATTAAAGGATTCAAGGGGAAAAGATAAAGTCATATACAGAGTAGGACCATTAGAATAACACCTGATTTTTCAGTGAAGCCCTTAAAATAAAGGTCCTGTAAGGATATTCTACAAACTGAGGGACCACAGGTTCCAGGTTTATTTATACTCAATAAACCTATCAATAACAATAGATAGAGGAAGAAAAACTTTCCCACAATGACATGAGCCTGCAGATGTAAGGGTCAGGAATGGTGATAAGTCAAGTCGAAGAAGAACAGAAGGAGGAATTAAGAAGACAACAGGAAAACTTGGGACCAGGAAGTCTTGCATAAGTTAATGATTAAGTCAAGACAGTTTTTTAAGAAGTGCAGAATCTTCCATACTATTTGAAGGTAGGTGTTGAATCAAGGGGAGAAGAGAGTTAAATTTGACACTGTTGGCAAAGAAAACACAGGATGTTTCAGTCACAGCTGCCCTAGGACCGATATCCATGGCCCTTCAAAGGAGAAAGCCCAGTTCTCAAGGACTGAAACATCAACTCCTTCAAGGCTCAGGTCCCATGTACTGACTGGACCTTGCCAAGATTACATTGCACAACAACACAAAACTAATATTCTCATTGTCTTTTCTTGAGGAGCTCTGAGAGAGCATTGGGTCTTTCTGCCTCTTAACAAGCTTCCTGTTTTGTTTTGTTTCATTTTGTTTTAAAATTTTAATGTCTGATGTATGTACATGTATTTGAATAGCAATGAGACTCCAAGATCAGGTAAACCAGCAAATGTGTCCTAATATTTTCAAGATTAATGAGTACAGATATTCGAATAATAATACTGAATGAATGCTGATGAACGATAAAGGGATTTAATCCTTGCAGTTTGTATAACAAATCTTTGGCCAGCTCTGAAGGAATTGAATACAAGATGAGCACTGCTCAGGTCAGTAATAAATTGCTTGAGGATTCCCAATCTAAACTAATAATCTCGTGATTCTATGTTCTTTGTAAATGGTATAAATTCTACCCTATTTTTCCACAGATTCATTATAACCTGAAGGCATAACATGCAGATGTCTAAAACCAGCATGGCACTGTAAATAAAGTTAAATGACACTTCTTTGCTTGTACTGTATCTTCTCAGTGCAGCACCACAACTTCCAAATCTCTTAATTTAATTGCTCAGTCTATCTACATGTACCTATGTTTATCAAAACTATAAAAGAATGAAGGCCATCTCTGGATTAATTTTCTGCTGAACATTGCATCAATTAGTCAAGCACTGAAGAGCTCAGGAAGAAAGGGGAAGTGTGCAGGGTCAGGGCTGTGTGGTGCAGGCAGCTGTTGAAACTCTCAGTGAGGTTTTTGTTAGAAGCTGAAGCACTGTGGGAGGATAGTCATAATACTGCTGACAGTAATAAACTGCCAGGTCTTCAGCCTGCACACTGCTGATGCTGAGAGTGAAATCTGTCCCAGATCCACTGCCTGTGAAGCGATCAGGGACCCCAGTTTGCCGATAGGATGCACCATAGATTAGCAGTTTAGGAGGCTGCCCTGATTTCTGTTGATACCAGGCTACATTACTATATACACTCTGACTGGACTTGCAGCTTATTGAGATCCTTTCTCCTACAGATGTGGACATGATTTCAGGAGACTGGGTCATCACAATGTCCCCTTCAGCACCTGGAATCAGAAAGAGACAATGAGTATTCACATATACACAAAATAAAATCCTAATACAAAAGTTGTGTTCTAAAATTCCTTTTCAAATGGCATTGCCTGCATACTACTGGATTCCTATAGTAAATAGCTGTATTTTTCTACAAATTAATTATATTGATGATATTCCAATAGTTTTTACTGTCTCACCAGACATCCAGAAGAGCAGAAATATGAAGACCTGGATCTGTGACTCCATCTTAATGCCTCTGCCTGTCTGATGTATTTCAGTTCTCACTGGAAAGGCCTGGTTTATAAAATATGGCAGGTGGGTTGGCTTGTAGGGACCTATGCAAAATAGTTATCAAATAAGAAAGTCAGTAGCCTGGGTATTGTGTTGTGAGAGTATCCAGGTTAAATCTACAGCCAAAAATATCCTCAGAGTGAGTAAGCCATCACTGGGGGAAAAGTCAACATAAAACTTCTAGGGCCAGACTGGAGAGATGGTTCAGCGGTTGGAAATACTGGCTGCTCTTCCAGAGCATGCAGGTTCAATTCCCAGCACCCATATGGCAGCTCACAACTGTCTGTAACTCCAAGATCTGACACTCACAGACATACATGCAGGCAAAACACCAATGCACATAAAATACAAAAAATTAAAAATTAAAAAAAAATTCAAGGTCCAACTTAGAGCTCTCAGACTACAAATATCGAGATGCAGTCATGACAGACTTTTGTTAAAAATCAAAAATTTTCAGGGATGGCTACAATGTCCTCTCCTGTGGACTAGCAAGGTTGCTCCTCCCTCAGGGGTAGGGGGCTCAAAGAGACAGCCATTGAGTTCATGTCTGAGACAGTCCCTGTTTCCCTAACTAGGGAGCCCACTTAGATACCGAGCTGCGATGGGCTATATCTGGACAGGGGTTTTAGGTTATATCCATTCATGGCCCTTGGTTGGAGAAACAGTCTCAGAAGAGGCCCCTGGGCCCAGATATATTTGGTCCTTGTGGAGCTTCTGTCCTCTCCAGGTCATACTAACTCCCCCTTCTTTCATATGATTCCCGGCTAAGATCAGATGGAAGGGGAGGAGGACCTCCCCCATTAGTGGACTTAGAGAAGGGCAGGAAGGAGATGAAGGAGGGAGGGTGGGATTGGGAGGGAATGATGAAGGGGGCTACAGCTGGGATACAAAGTAAATAAACTCTAATTAATATAAAAAATAATATATAAAGAAGAAAAAAAGAAAGAAAGAAAAAGCCATAGTTTCAATCAAAGGTTAAGAACAGTCATTTGACTGGGGAACTATATCAGGTAAAATGAATGTTTTTGTTTAATGTGTAAAGAAAATATAAAACTTTTATTGAATAAAATATTATCATATTTCAAAAAATAAAATAAAAAATTATGCCAAGCGAGTTCCACAGAAATAATACTAGAAAAACTTTTCAATACAATTCTGAGTAAACAATAAATATTGTAACCAACAACAACAAAAAGAAACAGGGAAAGGGAAAATGAAGAAATGGAAGAAAGGAGGGGAAAAGAAGAGGTGAGAGAAAAGAAAGGATAGGATAGAGAGAAGAAGAGTGAAATCTGGATTGGGAAGGATCGCTAATTGTGGAGAGGATTGAAGGAATGGAGAAGACGAAAAAAGATAAATATTAAAACAAAATTGTTTAGGGATAGAGTATTAAGTTAGTGGTTAAGAACAGTGGACTGGGGAAGACACATGGGAGGAGATGAGAGATAAAGAGAAGGCAGGATTGGGAGGGGAGGAAGGTGGGGCTACATCTGGGTTACAAAGTAAATAAATTATAATAAATAAAAAAACATATTAAAAACATTTTTTTCTCTTGAAAAGGACTCAGGTTTGATTCCAATTTTTTTGGTAGTTCTAAGCATCTATAATTCCAGTTATGGCACACAGATGGTATACATACATACATACATTCATACATATCTAAATACATACATACAACTGGATATATGAGCCCTGAGCTTCTGATCCAGGTTCTACTTTGTTGGCTGCCTTCATTCTGCTATCATCTATTCCAATTCTCTCAAAGCCCCACTGAAAACTTTCCTTAAAAGTTGCTTTGGTTATCTTGTTTATCACAACAATAGATAAACAACTAATAAAAAGGGAGAATCAATCAAGAAGATATTATATATGTAATAAGACACATTGCCTCCAAAAGCATTTAGTCAATTAGTTTTTAAGGAATACATAGATGACAATAGGTAGCATATTGTTTACATGGGGGCTTTGCTTTCTCCTTCATAAATGTTTCATTTACTCATAAATACGAGATAAAAGCCTGGAAGGTAAAGTCTATCCACACACAATCATACTTCTTTAGTATAGAGCACAGTTTTCTGGGTCTCTATATTTGAGAGCAGATAGGGGGAATTCAGAGTGGTATGTGACCCATTAGGAAGAGGCAGAGGTGAACATATGGCTTCGAAACAAAACTACTACATGTACCCTCTCATTTATAAACACAAAAAGCCACATACTCTAAATCAGTTAGAAGAAATTGAGGGGAAGAACCTTGAGTTCACTGTAACAGGAGACAACTTCCTGAACAGAACACCAACAATCAATTATAGAAAAACTTCTGTAAAGCAAAAGACACTGGTTCAGAACAAGACAACAGCTACAGACTGGGAAACATCTTCACCAATTGTATACCTGACAGAGGGCTGATATCCAGAATGCATAAAGAACTCAAGAAGGTGAAGAGCAACAAATCAAGTAATCCAATTAAAAAAGTGGGGTACAGAGCTAAACAGAGAATTCTCAGTAAAGGATTATCGAATGGCAGAGAAACACTTAAAGAAATCCTCAACATCCTTAGCTATTAAGGAAATGCAAACCAAAACAACCCTGAAATTTCACCTTACACCTAGAATAATGGCTAAGATAAAAAACACAAGTGGAAAGACATGCTGGAGAGGATGTAGAGAAAAGGGAACCCTCCTTTGGAAATCAATCTGGCATTTTCTCAGACTGTTAAGAATAGTGCTACATCAAGATCCAGCTATAACACTCCTAGGCATATATCCAAAAGATGCTCAAGTACACAGCAAGAACATTTGAACAACCATGTTATTAGCAGTTTTGTTTGTAATAAACAGAAACTGGAAAAAATTCAAATGATGTCAGCTGAGGAATGTACCACAGATATTGTGGTACATTTCCACAGTGGAATATTACTCAGCAATAAAAAACAAGGAAATCATGAAATTTGCAGGCAAATGCTGGGAACTCAAAAAGATCATCCTGAGTGAGATATCCCAGAAGCAGAAAGACACACATGATATACACTCACTTACAAGTGGATATTAGACATATAATATAGGATAAACATACTAAAATCTGTACACCTAAAGAAGGTAATCACTGTCGCTGACATGAACTGATTGGCCTGCTCTTTGATCCATCCCCCTCAGTTGAGTGCAGCCTTACCAGGCCATAGGGATACAATGCAGCCACTCTTGATGAGAACTGATAAACTAGGATCAAAAGAAATTGGAGGAAGACCACCCCTATCAGTGGACTGGAGGAGCATGAGTGGAGAAGACAGAGGGAGGGTGAGGTTGGGAAGGGAGAGGGATAGAAAGTGAATAAACTGTAATTCACAAAAATAAAAAAATGAAATTAAAAAAGGAGGTAATCAAGAAGGAGGACCCTGGGTAAGATGCTGAATCTTCCTTCAGACAGGCAAACAAGATGGACCTCAGAAGAGGGAGAAAAAGGAAACAGGACAGGAGCCTACAAGAGAACTCTGAAAGATTCTACCCTTCAGGGTATTGAAGCCAATGCTGAGACTCATAGCCAAACTTTTGGCAAAGTATTGGGAATCTAATGAAAGAACGGGGAGATAGAAAGACCTGGAATAGAGAGGAGCTCCATAAGGAGAGCAAAAATAAATCTGGGTATAGGGATCTTTCCTGAGACTGATACTCCAACCAAGGACATGCATGGAGATAACCTAGAACCTCTGCACAGATGTAGCCCATGGAAGAACAGTGTCCAAATGGGTTCCGTAGTAATGGGAACAGGGACTGTATCTGACATGATCTCAGTGGCTGGCTCTTTGATCACCTCTCCCTAAGGTGGTTGCAACCTTCCCAGTCCACAGAGGAAGACACTGCAGCCCCTCCTGATAAGCCCTGATAGACTAGGATCAGATGGAAGGGGAGAACGTTCTCCTCTATCAGTGGACTGGGGAACAAGCATGGCTGGAGATGAGGAGGGTGGGTGGGTTTGTGAGGGGATGAGGGAGGAGGCTATAGTTGGGATACAAAGTGAATAAACTGTCATTAATTAAAAATGAATTAATTTTTAAAAAGAGGAAAAATGCCCAACAGGCTTGCTAAGGCTCAATAGTACTAAGGCATTTTTTTCAAATGAGGTTTATCACTCTCAAATGATTTTAGTTTTTGTCAATTTGACATAAAATCTCATCAGTACTGGGTATAAATATGGTTATGTAACATAATCTTGAAAGAAGGTTGCTTTCATAAAATCCAACATTGCATAACTATATGACAACACACTTAAATTTTTCTACAAGGACAGGATAGGGAGCAGAGTGTTAAGGAAGGTGCTCTCTGAGGTTCTGCTGCTGCTCATGTATGTTCTGTCCATGTACACAATACATGGACACTGTAGGATTTAGAAAGGTGAATGTGCATCAGTTTCATTGTTTACTTATTCAGGATCTGCCACAAATTTGATGTATTCCTGCTTAGCTCAAGTGTACATTTATGTAACATAATTCTCATGATTTCTGTAAGTACTTTCAGTATTACTAAATCACTCATACACAAATAAATTTTATGCAAAGGCAATATTTATTCATAGGTAATATCAGAAGTTCAATAAAGAAAAATGAGATCATGACTGGAATTTAAAGACTGTCTATTTAAGGAGTATGAATGATTAATATGAAAAGAACATTTTAAAATTGGTTCCAAACTGCTTATTCTACTAATAGCCATAGCCATAAAAATGAGAATATTTTGTGTCAAATCACCTTTAAAATCATGCTATAAAGATAGGCAAAAGTAGGATCTAAGATGGCAGCAATCAGCAGGCTCCATATCTGAGGGTCATAGGTTCCAAACTCTGAAGTTGGTTGGTGGAGGGCCCTTCCCTTTACCTTGATGGGCCTCCCAACTCAGCATAGGCAACCTGCAGATACACTTGAAGAAATTGATACATCTCTCAAAGAAAAAGTAAAATAATAATAATAATAAAACTGTTTCTGA